CCGATGGTTCCAAAGGAGAATGTGGCACCGGTAGCGGATACTGTGTTCTACATGGGAACCAGATCTTAAAGACCTGGGAAAGAAAGCTTAAGCAACACAGTTTTTCAGGCTGAACTGATTGCATTAAAAGCCGCACTTGCCTACGCAATGGAAAATAACTATCCCAGTATATATTCATACTCAGCCTCTAGCCTCCAGGCAATCCAAGGCACATATAGTAAAAATCCACTCGTCAGAACCATACAAAAACTCTTACTAAGAACAGCAAAATAATATAGGCCTGAACTCCAGTGAGTACCTGCCTTCACCGGAATACTGGGTAATGAAATTGCGGTTGCAATAGCCAAAAGAGCAGAAACTGACCCCCACATTCGCACTTGTTCTTAAAAGTTGAGCTCGAGAGAGAATTACTCAAACGTTGGCAACATCTGTGGGAGACAGAGACCACCGGCAGAAGAGTTAACAGATTTTTTCCAAAAGTCTGCCGGCTTCTAAAAAGTGGCTTATCTCACTTCACTCAGTTTCTAACAGGACATGGTCCCCTCATGACTTATCTGCATTGCTTCAGACGACGCGAAAACGACCATTGCTCATGTGGGATGGCAGGAGATCCAGACCATTATCTGTTCGCTTGCAGAGAGACTGGTAAAAATCATCTTAGGCTGTGGTGTTGCGTGGCCCCAACTTGCATGCAACAATAGTAGTGACTGCTATGAACTAGAAAGTACACAAATTCTTAAGAAGGGTTTAACTCCCTTTTTATTCCACTTTAGAAGTTACAGATGCGTTCACTTGAGGCTCACAAACTACGCCGACCCGGCGGTTAAATAAAAATAAGAAAGTACAACTAAAAATGACTAATAACAAGTCACTACCTACGAGGCTCTCGTTCCGCGTGCTAAGATACAGCTGAGATTTCAGCAAACTTTCTGAATAAAAAGTTGAAAGATTCAACTAACTGCCGAAGCAAGCACACAGGCCGAAACGCGCGGTTCTATTTCTACCTAGCAACCTTCACGCTCGTGAATCAAGAAAGCACACCTACAAACTCGTTTCCCTTCTATTTAACTTAAATTACTTCCGCTGAAAATTTGAATACTTTGCGCGTTCTACTAAAATTTACATACTCTGGCATTGGCAATTCCAGGGGAAAGTAAAGGCTTGACAGGAAAGATAGCTTAAAATAAATGCTAGTTAAAATAAATATAAACCCTACATTTGCCGCTGCCAGAATTTGGTAAACTTGGAAGCAGGTCCTAGAAATGACCTGTTGAAAAAGTTTCTATATTCTGAACTAAAATTCAAGAGCCTCGTTTACATAAACCAAACTGTTTTCTCACAAATTAGAATAAATTTCTCTAGATAATCATTTTACCATCTCTTCTTACTGCAACCTTTCCTGGACTTCAGCAATCAATCTGTTCTCTTCCTTCCAGCATCTGGAAGGAATAAGTATCAGTATCTTCTAAATACATTATAATTTGCACTTTCTTAACACTGGATAAAGTTTAACACTGGATAAAGAATTAAAAAACGTATCACTCATAAAATTACCTTCTGCTCCTGTATCGATGAGGGCTTCTACTGGTACATCGCCAACCAAGACTTGTATAATCGGTAATTGTGAGTTTTTTACGACGACCGTATTTAAGTATCTTCTTGAGGGTTTTTTTGAAACTTCCGGGGTCTGGACCCTCGCTTTTACAGGCCCCTCTACTCGTTTAAAGCTTTCCTTTCAACTTCTGCCTTCTGGGTACGCGGGCGGTTGTTTTCAAATTTCCTTTTCGGGCCTCAGGGCTAAAGGGTTAGTTCATCAGCTTCTCGCGGCTGAAACCGAAAGAAGAGACTGATGACGTAGTTGGGTTCGCTTGGTCAGTTCTGTTCAGTTTCTTAAGCATTTGCTTGAGAATCAAAACGCTTTGAAAAATAGTTTAAAAACCAATGTGAGCCGAGATTTTAGCGCATGAAATTGCAATATATATGCATCTATATATGAACTAGAAATGTATTTACGTCATACCAAATTAAACTCTTAATATGCGTAAAACGTAAGTAAAACATGCATAAACATAACTATTTTTTAATTAACACAGATGCGTAAACATAACTAATTTTTTAGGTCGACTGTACCCTAAATGTAGTAATTCTTTTTTATAATCATCTTTTTAAATATATGTTAATAGTAACCCACCGATAACACGTAAATTTCTACATTTACGAAGAATTCTTTTTTGCGTTAAAATAAAAGTTAGTCGCCAAAGTAATTTGCATTATAGAAATATTAAATAAAAATATGCAAATACATTTTGAGAATACATGCTGAAGACATTACACATCTATCTAATTAAAAATTAGTTAATGCTAATAATAGATTTTCATAACACATTAAAACGAAACAAATTTCACTTCTTCCATTTTTGCTTTTCAATTAGCGTTGATAATGAGTAGTAGAATTTTGTAAGCTTTTGCAATGTCTATTATGAAAGCATTATTATGGAATATCAGTATCAGTATTATTATTTAACGTCAATTACTCAAAAATAATGAAAAATATTTTAAAATAGTATTTATATATTTTGGAATAATAGCATGTATTCTTACATTTTAAAAGTATATGCTCTGATACTAATTTATGTTTATGCAGAATTTCATGGTTTATTTTATATAGTAAAATTTAGCAGTCTAAATTAGTATATAATAATATATAATATTTTATATAGTAGTCCAAATAATTAACTGAAACGTGCATAAATTAGGTCACAAATTAAGTGAATAATAAACAAAGTAATGATTCAAATTATTATTTTTGGAAGGAATAATATGAATCAACTTACATGATTTTTTTTTCTATATAGTTTGGTTCGATAATCCTCTATTACTCTTCATCCATTTATTTGCTTTCTGGTCAGCTTTTCTTGCCGATACAAGGGTTGCATTCCTATTCAAGTGCCGAAACCTTATAAATGTTCGTAAACGGCAAAATACACGAATTGCACTCTTATTCACGGAGGGAAAACGTTTCTCAAGTTCAGAAATGAGATTCTGAATTACACCTCTACCTTTTCGAAAAGAACTGCTATGAAAAGAACGGAAAACATTTTCCACTTTCATCATCGTTTCCATCCAAACTGGTGATGGTACAGTTAATCCTCCTTTAGATAATAAAAATATCCAATTTGAGTCGTTAGGAATATCTACGAATTTTTTTTGATATTTCACACCCAAAGTAGGATCTTTATCTTTCACACGATATGCAGTATAACCTGCCACATAAGCGAGCGATTCTTGTTCATATGCAGATATATCTTTCGTTGAATCATAAATTTCGGTTTCCCAAGGAAGTGACGTACATTCATCACAGATGTCTTCGTAATTAATTAAATCATCTTCGTATAAGGAAGACTCAAACATTTGTGCTTTTTCATTTGAAGAAAAAGCTGTTGCTAACAGCTCTTTTGTCAAATATGCTTCGGCCCACTAGCGGCCGAGCGGTAAAGTCGCTGAACACTGGCAGTTCGGTCAGAGGTTCGAATCCCGCGAACGGGCTGGCTGCATGGGCGTTTTCGTGGTTTTCCCCATGTGTAACGTGTATACGAGCCAGTTTCCCTTAGAAAGTCCTCCACGAAAGGCATCCCTCCCCTTAGGCAGATAGCCCTAGTGTGCTTTGCTATAATTAAATACACCACCACCACCACACCAAATATGCTTCAACTTTCTTCACATCTTCACATTTATAGATTTTACGTCGTCAAATAAACCGAAAAGCGAATTTATCGATATGATAATACCTTTCTGAAAAGGTAGCATTGTCTTCTTTCCGCATACTCTGAGATCAAAAATCATTTGCTTAATCTCATTTAATTTTTCTTTTTGTACTTCATAATAGTTTTCTAGGCCGAAAGCAGCTTTTAAAGGCTAATTGCTAGGGGGTAATGGTACACTACTATTCATAATGTCAAAAAAATCATCAACCATTGAAAAAACAATTACTTGTTGCAGCATTACCAGTCAAATGCATAATTGCTTTAGCCGTTGTGGAGGAAAATAATGCTTTTGCTGGTGCTACTTTCTGTCTCTCTCGTTCCCTTTTACAGATAAAAATTGAGGTTTCAGTTTATAGCACAGTTTAATTTCTCCGATATCTTTATTGAGTACTTCATATATAACGTCTTTGTTTATAATTGTACCATTTCCGAGCATAAAACCTTTATCAAGAAAATGGTTTCTCAAAAGCTTTATGCAATGCGGCATATCAGCGAAAACCCATATTTTGGTGCTGAACTCAGGACTGTAAAAGAAAGATTTATTTGTTGAAATTTGTAATTCTTTCCAAAGGGTCTGACTACCTCCCATGTCAGATACAATTGCTTTGACTCGAAGCCCAGACGATTCAAGTGCAAACAAAATGGAAGACAGAAGATTTTCCTTTCATTTGACGATCAAAATCAAAATAAATGGGCTGTTTCCATTGCGAAATGAGTCCTCGAACCAATACAAATTGAGTCTTTTTAAAAGGACCTAATATCTGATCTAATTTTGAATCATAACAGAGTCTTGAATCTATATGAATTTCATCGAAACTTAATACGCATAATCTTTCTTCGTCAGTTGCATTTTGGCAAGTTTTTTTTTATCAATAACAGTACATCATTTAAAATGCCGGGAATGCAACTGAATCTTGAGCACCATCTTTTCAATGTACTTGCACTTGGAAGCGGAATACCCATTTTTTTTTCTTTCCAGAAGTCGTATGACTTTACGGATAACGATCTGATTACTATGCTTTTTGAAATATCGTCTGGAGACCATTTAATTCGCTTTTTTTCATTAATGCATTTATTTGAGTTTCGGTAAATATGTTTTGAATATACGTTTTCATTTTTCTTAGTTTTTCATTTCCTTGATTCACTTTTTTAATGTCTTTCCTCAGTTTCTGAACTTCTTCTAATATTAGTTTTCTATTCCTTTTAAATCTTTTTCTTTGCTGGGAGATAGTTTTTAAATGCTGCTTTTTCTCAGTCTGTAAAACAGAAACCTTATTCTCAAGAGCTGATAATTTTGTGATTAAATCATTCACATTTTTCTGGAGGTTGGAACAGTTACAACATTGCTGAGTAATATTATTTTCAGTGAGCTTCTCATAGCTATTATTGTTATCGTTTTGAAGTTCCAGACATGCCTTTTTAGGACTTAAATTCTGAATTCTTTCAAATGCACTTTGTAAATTTTTTCTTTTTTGTTGCCTTTGCTGCCTTGGTGTATTCTGATAAATAACCAAGTCAGGAATACAAGCAGTTGGAATAGCAATTGACTTCAGTATCTTTTTTGTCGGTAATCCTAGCAGCCTATTTTTCATATCATCCTCATAATCAGATTCAGTGAAGTGATTGCTGCATATTCGAGCACTCTTTGTGTTAATAATATCCGCTCTTCGACACCTATGCAACCATTCTTTCGTTAACTGAATATTTTTGTAAGGAAATCTATGAAATACCACGCTAGTTTCTTTCGTATTATGATACGTATTGCTACAAGTAGCAACGGCACACGATACCATTTTTTCAATGGTTTCTCATTACAAGAATTTTCTAAATACAAAATCCCTTTAAAAGTATCATCAGTTATAACTTTCAAGTAAAAAAAAAAAAAAAAAAAAAAAACTTCTTTCTCTGAAACTAACAGGGCTAAAGAAAGAGAATCCAAGAACTAAAGATTCAATCTTTCGCACTGATGCTCTGGTCAGTCGACGACGGGACGAACCCAGTGACGTAACATAATATCCGGTATACTCCCCAAGAGGGGTTCGTGTCGGCATCGTTCTTCTCAAAGGGATGACCCAGCCCTTCTCTTTCTTTAGCCCTGTTCGGGCCTTGACCTTCGAGCTCCGATGTGTTAGCTTGAAAGCTCTTTCCCCCGTAAGAGCGATTTGTGTTTCTGGTATGTTCATTTGAGGATTGCCTTCGGAGACCTTGAGAATACGATGCCCCCTCTAGTTTTTTCCGCTATTCTAGCGATTTTGGAACTTGACCGCCAACGACTCGAAGAGTTCCTGCAATGTGCTTGGGTATTTCGAATTTCGAAGTAATCTTGAACAGCAGGTAGCAATCTTTTAAGATTATTTCAATAATCTCCGCGTCGGGTTTCTTCCCATACAGCATATCCGTCAGCTTAATTTTTCGCAGAATAAAGTCCGTCAACTCTTCTATATTCCGTTGATAAAAACTATATATAGTTCGGCTTCTAGCTTTGCTCGGTCTTTCACTATGGAGAAGGCCTTTAATAATGATTTTTTGAAATTTTCAAAGGTATATGTTTGGCCTCCGAATTCCCCTAATAAAAATTTTACCTATATTCTTCTTCCACCATAGTGAGGCCTGTCCTCTTAGTGCAGATGTGGCAATGGCAAACTTTTTGTCTTTCTTTCAGGCACAGGGTAGAGCTGGAAATGAATTTTCTAGGACCTTCTAAGAATATCGCCACCGAATTTTTTCCGTCGAAATTGACGTTTGGCTTGATTGATGCTCTCATCGTCTGGACCAGGTATCCAAATCCTTCCAATTGGCGTCGCCATTTCTTGTTGTTGGACTTGTACAGGAGCTTCCATCCAGTTTTCGGCCATTTCATTCAGCTCGAAAAGTGTTCGGGCGCCAATGTGGTGTTGCGTGGCCCCAACTTGCCCGCAACAATAGTAGTGACTGCTATGAACTGGAAATTTACACAAACTCTTAAGAAGGGTTTAACTCTCTTTTTATTCCACTTTAGAATGTTACAGATGCGTTCACTTGAGGCTCACAAACTACGCCGACCCGGCGGTTAAATAAAAATAAGAAAGTACAACTAAAAATGACTAATAACAAGTCACTACCTACGAGGCTCTCGAAACGTAACTAACTTAACCGCGTTCTGAGATACAGCTGAGATTTCAGCAAACTTTCTGAATAAAAAGTTGAAAGATTCAACTAACTGCCGAAGCAAGCACACAGGCCGAAACGCGCGGTTCTTAAATTTCTACCTAGCAACCTTCACGCTCGTGAATCAAGAAAGCACACCTACAAACTCGTTTCCCTTCTATTTAACTTAAATTACTTCCGCTGAAAATTTGAATACTTTGCGCGTTCTACTAAAATTTACATACTCTGGCATTGGCAGTTCCAAAGGAAAGTAAAGGCTTGACAGGAAAGATAGCTTAAACTTAAAATAAATGTTAGTTAAAATAAATATAAACCCTACAAGGCAACCGGTAGCAAACCACATCCATGCATGGGCCGAAGCTACTTCGAAAAATCGCAGTGCATTGAAACGCATATGCGATTGCATAAATATTGCACGCAAATCTCAGACAGGCTGGGGTAATTCTCAGCTGCCGTCCTCGTCATCAGCACAACCCCCTATATTTTCTGTACCTTGTAGTTAAATTAATTTTATCTTAAGTTAGCGTTATTCGGCTTTTTTTATTCCCTGTATATACGCATCTCCTTGAACTTTAAACCCTGAATTATGAACCTTGAATTATGTATTTTGCCTTATTTTATGTATTATTTTCACTTTTTTATTTTTTGTATTATTTTCACTTTTAGTATTTTTTTATTTTATGTATTATTTTCACTTTTTTATTTTATGTATTATTTCACTCTTTAGTATTTTACTTCTTATTATTTTTAGGATTGCTATTTAGTATTTAGCTTTATTTTAGATATTACTTTCACTGTTTTATCGATCACTCTGTTAATTGCTCATATAGTGCATTGTAATCATTTATTGTTCACGTTATGGATGTCTTTTGTAACCCCCTATTCATAACTCTGTAAATATGTAATTGAAATTGTTCTTCTCACCCGCAATGCACCCTTCTTCCATCACTGCACTATCGTCTCGTCCAGCATTTGTTTGCACTGCCCCCAGCACTCGACTTGAGCACAATATGTATATATAAGTGCACAATATGTTGATCAAGTTATTTTCATCAGCGGGGCTACCTAGTCGATATACTAACTACCCAGTAGACCGGTTGCCTCGCTGTCGGTGGAAAGAAAGAAAGTCGATAATAGAACACATGTTTAGCGTAATGCAATACGAGTATAGTACTCAAGTATAGTAACACGTGTATTAGAGTGTATAGTGCGGATAAAAATCAAGATTAGAATTGAATATTCTTCATAACCCATTATTTACAGTACTTATAACATAATGGAGCTTACTATCATAAAGATTGAAAATACATTTTTTAAATTAAATTCGAAGCATCACCAACTACATCACGATAAATATTCAGACATCTTTTATTTTCAAAGTTTGCTTCAAATTTAGTTTAATCGTAAATGTAAATTGGTGCTGTATTTTAATCAAATGCGCACGTTAAAAATATCTAGTCCATATTCTACGTAACAAGACATTCTTTGTATTTTACACACTGCGTAATTAAAAATACGAGCATGAAATCAAACGCAAATAATTTTGTGTTGAAGTTTCGGTTTTTCGTACGAAGCTTTAGAAACTGCTCTATCAGCATTATGCATAAACAAATTATATCCTATGGTTATCGAAATTTCAATATAGTTTTTAAAGGGCAAATTTCCTCTGCACTTTTGTTTGAGTGAATTATCTACCTTTTTACTTTAAATATGGTGAAAAACAATCTTAATTCGTTCTACAGCGTAACATAATTTAAATTATTTTTTTTTGTACCCTTTGAGTTCATTCTTTGTTTCTCGGTGCATGAATGGTGCTTGTCTGGACTATTTCAGTGGATGCCAGATAACAGAAACTTATGATTAGAGAAGTGCTGAATAGTAGAGTGTCCATTGTATTTTGAATTATCGCTTACATTATATTAATTACTTTCATTGCAATATATTTTTATGATCCAGTTGTATTGTGTCTACAGTTATGCCGGATGTTTGAAATTAAATTTCATTTATAAACAAAAAAAAAAAAAAAAAAAAAGCTGTTGCCAAATTTAAATGCTAAATTAGACTTCAAACCCATTCTTTACAGATTTTCTGCAACTGAACACTTAATATACAATGATAAAAAATCTGAATCGTTCTACATTTTAAATTACGTCCAAAGGAGCGTTTTTATAACATTTTGCCTGTTATCTTTATTTATTAAATATCACGTTCTTCGCACTTAAACCATAAAATTCAGTTCAAGAGCAATATCACAAAATAGTTTTAAATTGAGCATATCTTTAGAATTTCCGATACGCAGTCTCATGCGCTGGAGATAAAATTTTTTTTTTTTTTTTCTGTACAACGTTGCCATCGCTCGCTTTGAAATCCTTGAGTTTGTTAATCAGAAATTTGTTAAAGATTTACAAAATATGAAATCGATAATAAAACAAATTCCAATTTTCAAATTTGGGCTTCCACATGCGTATATTCGCAGTAGGATTACGTCATTCAGAATTCGATGGCTCTATGTACCGTTGTTTTATCACAATGACAGAAATATACATACATTTATGCAGATTTTTCATTATTTCATTTCTTCAAATATAATGCAGGACTGTAACATTTGGTGGCAACAGTTTGAAAAGTGAAACGGACATTTATAGTGAACAAAGGCAAAATTAGAAATCGAAAATACTAGTCCTTCAGGGACAAATAATAATTTTTCGCCATATAATTTATTAGAGCAATATGACATATAAAATTGAAAAACATCTTCTCTCATTTTCATTTTTAAATCATAAATGTGATTCCAACTTAACGTTTTTTTTTTTTTTTTCAAAATTTAAACATACGTTGCAATTCAGAAGCAGATCATTAATTAATTAAAATTCTCTCAACTAATGAAAAGAAAGAAAGATTTAAGAAAAATAATTTATTGAAAGCTTAACCTTTCATAAGATAAAACATGAGCTGCACTTTGCAGTGTTCAGTAGACTGTAAAATGAAATCAACTTCGTATCCAGTATGTATTTATTAATTCCACATCAAATGTTGCATCGCAGTTAGTTGCTTCAGTGGCATGCAGAATATACTTGCATTAAAACGTATATTAAACTTTAAAATAAAAAGGAATATTACATAATTTTGTTCAATTTTTAATTTTTCTTTGATTTGTCAACCAATTATTCAGAATTATTTCTTTTCAAATCTCATTATTTCCAAAAGGATCCCATGATCGAAAACAACAAAATTAATAATAAAATTAGTTTATTGTGAGGAATCACTTATGAGAATAATTTGGTTTATTTTGATTAAAAATAATTACCCTCAAGTGATACGCATGAAATATTTTCATATGTGCTAATCAAAGCGTCGAATTTTCATTTATAATAGACTGACAGCTGAAGTTAGAATTCGTAGTTGATAAAACATATAATTTTAACTAACTTAAATACAAACTGCTCTCTGGTTTTAACTAACTAAATTAATTAGAATACGTGTTCTTAGACAAATTTTAAGAGCAAATTAGATAAAAAATTTTATAGCTCACGATTTTAACATTGAGAATCTTTAATATTATTAAGAAATAAGTAACGAACCAAATTGTATAAAAATGTCAGTGTTCTTTATGTGGAATGTTGTTTCCCATAAGTTACTAGAGTAATTTTAGCCCGTTCGCAAGCCAAGCCCAACGCCAAATATTTTATAAAATTCTTATAATATTAATGAAATTATCAGTGTCAAAAATTCTGGGGATTAGGTAATTTATAAGTAATGCAATGTTTGCGTATATTTTATATGTACACAGTCTCAAAGCTTTTCAGTTCAGTTTAATCTGAGTCTTCCAAGCCTTCCTCTGCTGGAAATGCAAGACTATTCTTCCCTTTTTTGCACATTTGCTTATTTTTTTTTTTTTTTTTTTTTTTTTTTTGATGTCTAA